GGGGGTGATCAAGTCGCGTCGCGTCCGGTGTGGGACGCCTAGCGGACTATCAGCTCAGCACACTAACTTCTGTCAGCTCAGTGTTCAGTACGCAGCCCTGCGCTGAGGATATCGCAGAAACTCGCAGTCATTCGCGCTGCATTCAGCCTTTCTATCATCCGACTGACCGCTGCGTGACGGACGCACGCCATTCAAATCAACATCACCGAGGCTCGCGCGGTGGTTATTGATTACTGGTGCGGCGCCGCGTTTAATGGATTAAAATGTGAATCTATGAGTTACTTTGCAGCAAAGGTAAGAGCTGATCGTATAAATGCACGTCTTTGCGTACCTTTGCACTGGATAAGACGAGTAATAACAGCAGATCTATCGGTTTTTAATTTCAGATGTTTTATAATACGAGTCATTTATAAAGCAACTTTGATTTGTCTGACATAACCTGTATGTGCATTTGGTCAGTTGCTCTATGTCTTTGCAGCATCTCATAATGCACTAATCTGATCAAATAAAAGCAGTGTCATGTGAATATTGGTATATATATGACATGCACTGCTGCACAGAAACGATTCACAGAAACCTATTACACTGCATTCCTACTGCTGTTGCATTATGCATGGGGAGTACCTGAGAAAGAGGCTTTTTTTCACTGCCAGAAACCTCATACCAGACTAGATAGTGTAATTAAGTCAATCAGGAGCACACTTTCAATTTAAAACCAACAGTCTCATCAGAGGTAAAAAATTGAGCATCATTGCCACAGCAGCAGCAGCTCTTGTTGAACACATCTCTGTCTGTCTCTCCTCAGGCTGATATCTGACTGACATCATTCACCAGGCAGCTCTGGAACAGGATTTTAAAGATGGACTTCTGGGTTTTGCCAGTATGTCGGATCAGTTTGATGTTGACACTGATGTCATCCACTGGTCGGGTATGATAAATGTCAAACATTGTTTTCGTGAAGTTAGTTATCGCTCACCTGAATGCAATCAATCAGATCAGATTCTCTACACTGTAATTTTTTTGGCTACTGGCTGCTGTACTTTTAGTCATTTTTGCAGTATTGGCTCTACAATTACATTTTCGTATATAGTTCATATTTACACAAACTGCACTGTGATATCATAATGAGCAGGCCGGGTTATTTCTGTGATGTTGCAGCATTGTTTAGCTGACAATATTTTGAAACTCATTTGCTAACATATTGCCACATAAACTGTAGAGCACATTGCAAGTTGTAATCAGACTTCAACCATTACACTTTTTTGCATTTTTTTTATACTTGCTAATCATCATGATGGTGACATCACACGAGAGTTTATGGGTTTTTCACTATGGCCATTTGAGCCTTTTTCGAATTCCACAGTGCAGTGTGATCTGATCATTTGTAAAGTAATTTGTTGTCCTCTGACAGAAAATTATGTTGATTTTACAGTAAAAGTTAGAATTTTGTGTTTTATTGTAAGAAATCACTGTGAAAGAACTGGCAATAGAGTAGAGTGCATGACAATTTGAAGAAGTGCACAGAGAACAGCCTTCAGAATAACCTAGATATTTTCTTAAAATAGTACATGAAATGTATTACTTATGCTTTTGATATTTATTTTGTATAACTGGTGTGTAATTATAATTGTGCACCCATGCATTACAAATAACACCATCAAGTCATTTTTTATTCATATGACTTTTTTAAAAATAGTAATTGTTTAAAAACAAAAATTGCCCCCTCAAAATATTTGGTAAACATCTAAAAACAATTTTTAATTAATATCTAATACATAATACATTTTTGTATTTTGTTTTAGTCAGTTTTAGTGATTTAGAGTTAGTTTAGTGAATTTTAGTGACCAGTGCAGACTGATGAATCATTTCGTATTTGACCATTTTGAGATTAATATTTAATCTTAAATTAATATTTAATTTAATTTAAATAATATTTAGTGAATTGACTAAATTTAGCAGTTGTATACATTTTTAGATTTTTTACTTTTAGACATTCAAAGTTTGGGGTTGCACCAAAGCTGCATTTTGATCAAAAATACTAATGTTGTAAAATATTGCGATTTATAACAGTTTTTAAAATACTTGTAAAATGAAATGTATTCCTTTGATGGTAAAGCTGAATTTTCAGCATCATTACGCCAGTCTTCAGAAATCATTTTAATATGATTTGCTGATTGAGAAATATTTCTTATTATTATCAATGTTGAAAATAGTTGTGCTGCTTAATATTTGTGTGAAAACTGTGATTTTCTGTAATTTAAATTAAAGTGCTTGTAACATATCAGCCATCAGCTGGGGGTGGCTTTGGATATCACATCTGCATCAGCCATTAAAACCTTGTATAGGCTGACCACTAGTTTTATTGTTTGTACTTTTTATTAAGTGAACACTGTTTTGCAAAGCAGATCAATTTGTCGCAGATCACACACACACACACAGCGCAACAGTCAAGCCCAAATCAGCTCTCTCCTCTAACCTCTCAAGTTGGCTCATAGTCATGCGCTCCATCACAGGTCCGGAGGGAACCGTTAAAAGTTGCCTTCTTTTTTTGTAAGAAACAGGTTATATATAGAGGGCTGGTGTGGATGTTAATGGAAGAGCTGGCATGGATGTAGACGCCAGCCTAATCATGTACAATAGGACCACTCGATAACAGCAATTTACACCACAGCGCTGCCACCTAAAGTGGCCAAATCTCTTTGTCCTGCACGTGAATAACACATGAATAACAACAGCTGAAACCCAAGTCCTGTCTTTGTGGGATTCCGAACGAAATGCCAGTGGAAAGACGGAGAAGAGAGCAGGTAGCAGGTAGTGGCATTAGTGCAGCAGTGCACTCTGGGACAGAGTTACAGCCGGCCACGTCGAGTGCCTTTTCCATGCACGCACCATTTGGCTAGTGTCATTCATTCCCTAGTTTGTATGCGAGCTGACGGACAGCAGCAGCGCTCTCTTTTATGCCGGTTTAAACCACGTCAGAATTTATCATTTCCATTTCGCTGACTGAAGCAGGTGACTGTGGCCATCCATCTTGGACAGAACAGGTTTCTGCTGGAGTCTAAATTGAAATTTGATGTGCATTTATCCAGAGTCTCCATTAAAGCTCTTTGCAGTAATCTTTCAGAATAATATTTGTTCTATGGGCTAAACACTTCGGCTTGATTTATGCGCACGTGGGAGCCGCCGCTGGGACTCCTTAAGAAGCTGTGAGTTTCAGCACTGAAAGCGAAGTGGAGTCTAACAGGTGTTTTCACTACTCTTTTCCCACATCTCCTATTTTCCTGCTTTTCCTATTAGAGAGCGGCTCTGCTCTTTCACCTCCCTCTGGCAGCGCGCTCCTCCTGCTAGACGCGCTCTCGCACACATACACATCTTTCTCATGAAAGGACTTTGCAGGGTCAGATTGTGTTAGATGTGGGATTCGGTGGGTAGACGTATTTAATTTTGCCTTTTGTTCAGCCTGATAAAATGATACAATTCACAAGGTCTCGGCTAAATCGGAGTGTGAAGTTCTGTCAGTGTTTTATATCTGTGTCTAGTATTAGGCCAGAAACATATTTTAGAAAATACATATTTTAAAAATGTTTTTGTCTCTCTTTCCGTCCATCATCTATCTATCTATCTATCTATCTATCTATCTATCTATCTATCTGTCTGTCTGTCTGTCTGTCTATCTATCTGTCTACTCTATCTGTCTGTCTGTCTACTCTGTCTGTCTATCTGTCTGTCTGTCTGTCTACTCTGTCTGTCTGTCTGTCTATCTGTCTGTCTGTCTGTCTGTCTGTCTATCTATCTATCTGTCTGTCTGTCTGTCTACTCTATCTGTCTGTCTATCTATCTGTCTACTCTATCTGTCTGTCTATCTGTCTGTCTGTCTGTCTACTCTATCTGTCTGTCTGCTCTATCTGTCTGTCTATCTGTCTGTCTACTCTATCTGTCTGTCTGTCAGTCTGTCTACTCTATCTGTCTGTCTACTCTATCTGTCTGTCTGTCTGTCTACTCTATCTGTCTGTCTGTCTGTCTACTCTATCTGTCTGTCTATCT